TTTCTTATACAGAACATTTATTACAGCCCTGCTTGCTCTGCTCCAAAACAACAGTCAACCAAGGAAAGACTCAAGTGGTGTCTTTCCCATGCAGTGGATTTCTGGAAGACAGGTCTCTTCCAAATTCCTTTTTGCTGGTGCGCCGTTAGTCACCAGTGCTGCTTTGAATGACGAGGGCTGGGCTGGTACAGTTGTACAACTGAGTGCATCTAGAGCAGGAACACGTGCTGGAAGCCACTCTCCAGAAAAAAAAAGAGCGTAAAGTGTAAGAAATCTTCAAAAGATAACCTGGGCCCAAAGCTGCTCTGATAAAGATCCTCCCAAGGGAAGATGAAGGTCAAGTACCCAATTCAGCTACCACAGAAGCAATTAACAGGATGGTGCCAAAAGCTTCATTTTTGAGTTCTTGCAGTCCCCGGAGTATAGTCCCATTGGTTTCCAGCAACTGCAAAGGAATAACCCATTCCTGAGATGATAGGTTACTGCCTGGACTCAGTTAAAGGTGAAACTAGAACAGAGACAACAAAACAAAAGGGAAGCTGAAAGGTACCCGGGTTGCTGAGGTGATGGCATGACCTGATCTGCCACAGAGCAACCTGGATACCAGGAGGTACCAATAATAGGCAGGACTCATCACTCAGGAAAAAAAAAAAAAGTAAGATTTTTCTAGTGCCCTTAAGACTGGGCTTATTAACTCATGCGGTCTTCTCCTCACTGACATTACAAGATTAGGATGTAATCCTGAGCGCTCACAGACCTCTCTAACCAACAGTCCTGAAGGCGCTGCTGATGTTCACAACTAGTCTACGGCAGATGTTGCAGTTACCAACAGTATAAACTTCCTTGGGGCAAGGTGGATAATGGAAGAACAAAAGCAATTGCTGCAGTTCTTACCTCTTGAGATGTATCAGAGAAGCAGAAACCATACAAGCAAACCAGAAAAACACTGAAATACAAGATTTGAAGCAGGATGCACGTGAAAGAGCTAGGGAAACCTCAAGGTGGTAAGTAGGGACCCAAGGCAGCTATAACCTCCACAAGCACAACATGTAATGAAAATTCACATCCACATCAACAGGTATTTAAGAGGAATAGCTAGGGACTTGCATGAACTCCTCCCTTCTGTGGCTGTGTCTGTATCATGCCGAGGCCTGGGGCTGGTGCCTGTTTTTCACATCTTCCCACCATAGTGTAAACTATGTGCTATGAATAAATTGGCAACCTGCTGCCCTTGCCTCCCCCTTGCTGTCATATTATTGCAATGACAAAGCAGCCAAAATCCAAAGCACACATAAACAATTAATGTTGAACAGATTTAATTTAACATGTTTCATGCAAACAGAATATCCCACATTGGATCTAACTGTCCTTATCTGAAGGACTGAGTTATGGAAATAGACCTCCACGCAAAGATTTAACATCTCACATCCCACTTACCAGCCTGTCCATAGAGCTCCCAGATCATGGGACTCTCAGTTCAGTGCCCACCTGAGTGGGGGTTTTGCATAGGCTGAAAGGGATGCAGGGATTTTCCATCAAACGTAAAACTTAAAATTTTGAGATAACAAAAACATTTTGTTACCAGGCCTTCACTGCTCCCTGAAGACTTGTGTACTTCAGAAGTTCACCTTCACCTCTTCAAAGGTATGTAAATTTTTAAAACATCACAAAAGACGCTGTTTTTTTTTAAAGGAAAAGCATAAGACCTTTGTAAAAACAAAAAATTCCAAACTCAACATTTCATGCAAAACTACTTGAGGAATTGAGCTTAATTAACTAGTGATTTACCCTCCTCTCCAGAGGCTTACAATTTTTCTAAAAGCAGCATTTAGTTTAGACTGTCCTTCCAGCAGGCACATCAGGCACCTCTAACGCCTGAGGCCAAGTGCTCAGGAGATCCGCATGGAGGCACGCAAGAAGATCATGGGGAACGATACGATGTTTTGAGACTTGCATAAGTCATAAGTCATCGAACACTTGCAGATCAGAGGGCAAAATCTGGCAGGCTTTTGAAGGAACTTTCCTGCCAAAACAAGTGTAACAACATTTTCAAGCTCGCAGAAAGTCCATTAAAATAATTTTTAAAACCTCAGCAGCACCACCAGCATCCCACCACCTCCTACAGACACCGAGGATCTGGCACCACTTATATCTGTATAATTAGTTATCACAGTAGTAGCAAATGTCGTTCCAAGTGCTGCTGAATGCCAGAGCTAACTGGGAAATGAAAAACAGGAAATTACTGGAGAGCAGCATTTTCCATCCAAATGTTGATATTTAAAATCTCCCAGCCAGCCAGTCAATAATGGAGATGAATGATGAAACAAAGATTTTCTGTGGACTTTTTTCAACAATTCATTTTCAAGCTATACAAATACAGTGGCCTTTCAAATTTTAAATTAGAGCCTGTAGACTTAAATTAGCTCTTTCAAAGAGTTCTTGATGCAAAACTAACGTGGAGCACAATGTTTTACAAGTTAAGACGTTTTCAAAGTGATTTTTCAGCCTTTTCAGAAACATAAAACATTTTAGTTGTTTTTTAAAATAGATTTGGGGGGGGGTATCAAAAAATTAAGAAATCTGTGAGGAAAACGGCCTTCCTCCACAGTTTTATTTAGTAAGTGTTTACTTAAAAGAAAACCACCTTTGACAGAAAATGCTGGCTGAGTACCCGTGATCTTTCACGTATGTTTTGGAGTCAGTGAGTGAAAGCATTTCATGGACAATTATTCAAGAAAACACACACATAAGCCAATATCCTTAATCGTTACTGCACAGAGTCCTTGACGTGACACACAAAAAACAATCTATAAGTAAATCTATATAATCTATATAAGTAAATATTAAATGAACAGAAAATGGAAAGAGAAAATTTCAACTGCTAACAGACAATGTTATTTTAAGCTTTTTGGATATTTTTGCAAG